GGTTCTGGGCAGGCCCTGCCACTGTCCCCACCTGGAGCAAAGAGTGCCCGAGGAAGGACAGCCTGTCCTCACTGAGGGGCCAGCCCATGGGCTCAGCTGGAGGGCTGCTGCTTCTTGGGGCTGCCAGGATCATGGCAGCTCCTGTCCCTGCTGTGGTGGGGAGGAGGGTGCCAGCACTGCCAGAGCCTGCTGCTTTCTGCCTGGCAAAGGGGTGAATAGCAGAATTGGATGGGAGGGCATCACATCTTGGGCCCTGGGCCTGGATGGGCTAAATCAGCGTGCAAGGTCCTTGGGACTTTCTACTTCTGGTACAAACAGGAATCTTTATTTTCTGCTCTCTGGCTTAGGCATTAACTAAAAGATGTGCTAACAGCTTTAAACTCTGCTCTGCAAACCATATCATGCCTTGTGACACACTTTCTGGCCTGCCCAGGCTGGCGGAGCGGGGCTGATTCCTGCAGCCCTCTGCTGCTTTGGCACAGAGCGTCCTCATGCTGCTCCCAGCAGGTTCCCAGCCCCTGTGCTATCCTTGCAGACAGCCTCCTTTTGCTCTCCTTACCCTTTTGAAGTAGCAGCTTTGTTCTTAGCAGATGAAAAGCACAAAAGTAGCCAGTGGAAAGAGACGTGGTTGTGGTGCAGCTCTGTGAGCCTCTCTGGAGAGCTCTTGGGCACCCAGGTTTTCAGAGCAGGGCCCTGTGAGGCTGCTTTCCCTGTGGGACTGGTGGAGCAGGCCTGGTACTGCTGCCAAGGGGAGTGGGCTGCTCTCTGCATGGGCACTGAGCTGGGGAACCAGACCAGGGCCCCCAGGGATGACCGGTGCCTGCTGAGAAAGAGGGAGCTGTGATCCTGCATTGCATTCTGCCCATCTGCACCTCGAGCCCTACAAAAAAAGCATTGCTATGACCTAAAAGCCGTAAGTAAACAGTGAACTGGAGTCCTGAGGCGTCTGTGGTCTGCAGCTTTATTTCTTGTCTGTGAAAGCAAGTTACTGTATGAAAGTGAAATCCTGCAGGCCAGTGACCTTTGCAGCGCTTGATGAGATCCTGTGGTCCTTCAGGTCTTAGGGACCAGTGCACCCTGCAGAGCCTGTCCTTGTCACCGTGCCGAGGGGATGACACCGGCTGCCCCGCTCCCACCAGGCTGTTCCTTCCCCAGTTGTTACCTTTCAGGTTTCTTCTTCTCGAGCCTTTTAATTAACTGTTATTGTTGCTATAATCTGTCCTGATGCCGTACTTCTAAAAGCGCCTTCTTCTCTTCTTTGGCAGGTCTCCGAAGCTGGGAAGGAGTCCTTGCCTTCGTGGTTACACTGGAATGCAGAGAGCAGCTCCCTGGAAGGGCTGCCCCTGGACACGGACAAGGGCGTCCACTACATCTCGGTGACCACGCTGCAGCCCTTCCCCAACGGCAGCTACGTGCCGCAGGCCGCCAACGTCTTCTCCGTGGAGGTGCACCAGGAAGACCACAGTGAGCCGCAGTCGGTTCGAGCAGCAGCCCAGGATTTGGGCGACGCCGCGCCGTTCGTGTGCGGTGCAGAGGAGCCGGTCACCATCCTGACCGTCATTCTGGATGCCGATTTGACAAAAATGACACCAAAGCAGAGGATCGAACTTTTAAACAGAATGAGAAGCTTCTCGGAGGTGGAGCTTCACAACATGAAGTTGGTTCCCGTTGTAAATAACAGACTCTTTGACATGTCGGCCTTCATGGCTGGGCCGGGAAACGCAAAGAAGGTGGTGGAAAACGGGGCCTTACTCTCGTGGAAACTGGGCTGTTCTTTGAGTCAAAACAGCGTCCCCAACATCAGCAAGGTCGAGGCCCCGGCGAAAGAAGGGACTATGTCTGCCCGCCTCGGCTACCCTGTAGTCGGCTGGCACATCGCTAACAAGAAACCTCACCTCCCAAAAAGGATGCGGCGGCAGATCAACGCCACCCCCACGCCTCTGACCGCTGTCGGACCTCCCACCACCGCCGCTCAAGAGCCGCCGACGAGGATTGTCCCCACGCCAACATCGCCCGCCATCGCTCCCCCCACGGAGACAACGGCCCCGCCGGTCAGGGAGCCCATCCCGCTGCCGAGGAAGCCTACGGTCACCATCAGGACGAGGGGCCCCATCGTGCAGACACCCACGCTCGGGCCGATCCAGCCGACCAGGCTGGCGGAAGGCACCGGGACGGTCTCCGTGCCCATTCGCCCCACGATGCCCGGCTACGTGGAGCCCACCGCCGTGATCACGCCGCCCACCACCACCACCAAGAAGCCCAGAGTCTCCACTCTGAAGCCCGCCACGCCGTCCACGACGGATTCCTCCACGGCGACAACACGCAGACCTACCCGGAGGCCCAAAACGCCCCGTCCCACCAAGCCTCCCAGCACCACCCGCTCCCCGATCTCCAAGCTGACCACCGCCTCCCCTCCCACCCGCGTCCGCACCACCACCAGCGGCATCCCCCGGCCCTGGGAGCCCAACGAGCCGCCCAAGCTGACGAACCACATCGACAGGGTAGACGCGTGGGAGGGGACTTACTTTGAGGTGAAAATACCCTCAGACACTTTCTACGATAAGGAAGATACCACCACGGACAAGCTGCAGCTGACCTTGAAGCTGAAGGAGCAGCAAATGATAGAGGAGAATTCGTGGGTCCAGTTCAACAGCACCAGCCAGCTCATGTACGGCATGCCGGACCGCAGCCACGTGGGGAAGCACGAGTACTTCATGTATGCCACCGACAAAGGGGGGCTGTTTGCCGTGGACGCTTTTGAGATCCACGTCCACAAACGCCCGCATGGGGACAAATCCCCAGTGAAGTTCAAGGCCAGGCTGGAAGGAGACCACAACGCGGTGGCAAATGACATCCACAAGAAGATCATGCTGGTGAAGAAGCTGGCCCTGGCGTTCGGCGATAGGAACAGCAGCACCATCACGGTGCAGGACATCGCCAAGGGCTCCATCGTGGTGGAATGGACCAACAACACGCTGCCTCTGGAGCCCTGCCCCCGCGAGCAGATCCGGACTTTGAGCAGAAAGATTGCGGATGACTCCGGGGGGCCGAGCCCGGCTTTCTCCAACATCTTGCAGCCGGAGTTCAAACCTCTGAACGTGTCGGTGGTGGGCTCCGGCAGCTGCAGGCACATCCAGTTTGTCCCCGTGATGAAGGACGGCAGGGTGATCTCGGAGGCAACGCCGACGGTGGTGGCTGGGAAGGACCCCGAGAAGAGCAGCGAAGACGACGTGTACCTGCACACCGTCATCCCCGCCGTGGTGGTGGCCGCCATCCTGCTGGTGGCCGGCATCATCGCCATGATCTGCTACCGCAAGAAGAGGAAAGGCAAGCTGACCATCGAAGACCAGGCCACGTTCATTAAGAAGGGCGTGCCCATCATCTTCGCCGACGAGCTGGACGACTCCAAGCCCCCGCCGTCCTCCAGCATGCCCCTCATCCTGCAGGAGGAGAAAGCCCCGCTGCCCCCCCCAGAGTACCCCAACCAGAGCATGCCCGAGACCACGCCGCTCAACCAGGACACCGTGGGGGAGTACACGCCGCTGCGGGACGAGGACCCCAACGCGCCGCCCTACCAGCCGCCCCCCCCCTTCACCGCTCCCATGGAGGGGAAGGGCTCCCGCCCGAAGAACATGACCCCCTACCGCTCCCCTCCGCCCTACGTCCCCCCTTAACGAACGGGACGCTCGGGGGGAGACGGGGCCTCCGGTCCCACACCGCTGCCGCCTGCGGGCCGGCCGCCCCCTTGCCGGCCGGGAAGCCGCCATCCCAGCCTGCTCCCCAGCAGGCCGCCCTGCGGCTGTGCCCACCGTGCCGGAGTGCCCGCGGAACCCGGGGGGACACTTGTTTTATTTTTGCCTAACAAGCTTTGGTTTTATTTTATTCATAGAAAAATTCTCAGCTCGAAACCGCCTTTCTGGCGGCGGGCTTCCAGGCACGGCTGGGGCCGGCGCGGAGGGCAGGGAGGGGGGGACGAGCAGGCAGCACTGGGGTGGCACTCTGGGTCTCCGCTGTTTGCCTTTAACACTAACTGTACTGTTTTTTTCTATTCACGTGTGTCTAGCTACAGGACGTAACATGAAAGGTAGCCTAAAAAAATAATTAAATTCAAGGGACTTTCTGAAGTCGATGTTTTAAGTTTTTACATTTAATCTGCTGTTTACCTAAACTCATGTATAGTTCTGGGGGCGCGGGGGGGAAGCGCTACGCTGCAGATAAGCTCCAGGGGTGTCGTAGGCTTAGGTAGAGGGGTGGCCATAGAGGACAGTCGGCCCTGGTGCTGGGGGCAGCGGGCTCTGGCTTTGTTTCCTCGGTTTTATTTTTTAATCGAAGCAATCCTGTTTCTCTCACGCATCACAACACAGCACAGGTCAGCCTGGTGCGGGGGCACTGCAGGGAGGCGAGCCAGGCCCCGCGTGTGCCCACATCGGCCTGTGTGCACAGCAAAGCCCTGGCCGTGGGGTGTTGGGGAGCTGGGAGATGTTCTGCAGCACAGTGCCTCCATGGCCGGGGCTTCATGGGGGGCGATGCTGGGTGGGCCGCATGGCTGTGTGCACAGGGCTGGGGGCTGGCTGCCGGGAAAGGTGGGGGGGGGAAAAAAAAGAGGATAAAAAGGAAAAAGAAAAAAAGGGAAAAAAAAGGAAAAAAAGAAAAAAAAAAAAAAAAGCGCCAGGAATAGCGAATGGTCGGAACAATCGGTGAAGTCTCAAATCTAATTTTTTTACTAAATTTTTGATACAGCCTCAAATTGTTTTATTAAAAAAGCAAAAGCATTAAAGATGGGTAACGCTGACAGCACTCTGTTGGGCTCCGCTTCTTGGGGCGGGATCCCGCCGGACCCTCCGCGCTCCGTTCCCTGCCCTGCGGCTCCGCCCCGCCGGGTCCCTCCGCGTTCTCCGCTCCTCCGCCCCGCGACTGGCGGCGCGGCACCGCCCGCGTTATGGCGCCCCCTGTCGGCCGCGCCGCCCCACGTCCCGCGCCCCGCCCAGCGCGGCGCCGCCATGTCGGGAGCGCCGGGCCCGGGAAGAGCCCCGCTGCCCTGCACCGCCCGCGCCGCCGCCCACCTGCAGCTGCCCGGGGGAGCCGAGGCGGCGCGGCCCGGCGTGGCCGTCATTGACGTGCGCTTTCCCTGCGGCGGCGCGGCTGACGTGAGTGCGGGCCGGGGACGGGCGCTGCGGGTGCCGGCGGCGTAGCGGCGGGGTACCGCTCGGGTACCGGTGGGATGCCGGTGGGATGCCGGGGCCGTGACCGCGCCGCCCCTTCAGGTGCACGAGATCGTCTTCAAGAACTTCTACACCGCCTTCCTGAGCGTGCGGGCGCAGCGGGCCGGGCCGCCGGGACCCCGCAAGTGGCTCACCTGCCTCCGCGACCTGCGGCTGATGCCGTGCCCGCACACGGAGCTGGGCGCGCAGGAATACTTCTCTCTCCGCCGTTCCCAGGTCCGCCCCGGGCACGCGGCCGCCCCCGGCCGCCCCCCACCCGCCTGACGCCCGCTGTCCCCCCGCAGATGCTGTGCGACATGGAGCAGGTGACGGCGCTGCGCTTCATCCTGCGGCAGCCCTCCCCGGCGTGGCTGCACTTCGGAATCGAGGAGCTGCAGCTCTTCCCTCCTGGCAGCAAGGTGACCCCGGGGAGCCCCGAGCGCGGGGACCGCCCTGGGGTGCTCGAGGGGAAAGGGGGGCGTGGGGCCCGGGGTCCCCGGCGTGCCGCTCCCTGGGCGCTGCGGAGTGATGCTCGTAGTGCCTGTAGCGACATGGAGGATTGGCGGGTCCAAACTGCGGCGCGAGGGTTGAGGGCGGGATAGAGGCCCTCGTGTGACCCTTTGGCTCCACCGCAGACCTCCCCACAGGACGTCCCTTCCTGGTTGTCCCAGCTGAGCCCTCCGGAGCGACCCCTCAGCCTGCACGGGGTGAGTGGGGCTGTCCCGTGCCGTGGGTGGGGCTGCCGGTGGGTGCCACCCTGTCCCGGGGTGCACGGGTTGGTCCTTCCCATCCATCACATGGCCCACATTGTCCATCTGCAAAGCGCACAGCTGGTGGCTGCTCCAGTGCTGCCAGGCCTTCTGACCCCAACAGATTGTGGCTTGAGCGCTCCATTCCCAGCGGATGTACCGAATCACGGTACCCAACCCCTGGGCGCTTCCAGCCCCCTCCTGGCCCTGCTGGCACCAGGAATCATTCCAGAGCCCCAAAACCACTGCCCGGTGCTGGAAGCAGTTTGCAGTTCAGAAGAAAAATACCCACTGAGACGTGCAGCTCGAGGTGGCATTTAAATCAGCTCTTCCTCTGCCTGGGGACCGGGGAGGCCTCGCGAGCAGAGGCAGGTGGCAGAGGGAGGCTGACTGGTTGACTGGCAGGTCTGGGCCAGGAGGTGACCATGGAGACCATCACAGCCTGCAAGCACCAGTGTTGGGCCTGCTAGGTGGCTCTGGGTGAGCAGAGTCCAAGGAGAGTTGGGGCAGACGCCCATGTCCCCGCGGGTTGTCACCGTGTGTCCCCACGTCACGCTGGGGTGGGAGGGAGAGGACATGGGGAGCATCGCGCAGTGCTGTGCTGGGAAAAGAGGACTGAGTTTGAGCGTCGTGGTTGCTGAACCTTGGTGGTGCAATTAGGTCTTTAATCATTAGCTAATTGCTGCTCTGGACGCCCGCCAGCGGGGCCGTGCCACCCTCAGGGTCACCGTTTCCCAGCCGCCCATCAGGGCTGCTCTGCGGGCGCTGTGGCCGTGGCTCGGTGCTGCCGTGCGGCCTGCACGAGGGCTGCCCCGGCTCTCCCGGCCCTTCCTGCACCGCTCCCGCTGCCTTCCAGGAGCTGCCCGACCCGGAGAAGGTGGCGGCGGAGGTGCAGCAGATGTGGGCGCTGACGGAGGTGGTTCGCGCTCGGCAGGCGGCTGCGCGCATCGGGCGCTTCGACGTGAGTGCGGTGCTCACCCGCAGCACCGGCGGCTGCGGGCCCGGAGGGTGGCCGTGTGCCGCGCTCCCTCAGCGTTGCAGGGACCCAGCGTGCCGCGTTCCTTCCGCAGGTAGACGGCTGCTACGACGTCAACCTGCTGTCCTACAGCTGAGCCCCGCTGGCTGCTCGCGGGACCGGCGCGGATGCTGCAACCGGTGGACTCCGACCCGGCCTTTGCCCCACTGCCTCCCGCGCCGCCCGCCGGCCGTGCCCCACGGCCCCTCCCGCGGCTCCGTCTCCACCACCCGCGGGCTCGGTTGGGGCCCGGCCCCCACGCGTTCCGCGGCCGTGGCTCCGGATAAAGGCTACTACCGCGCTGCCGCCTCCGCTCGTCTGTGCGGGGCCGGGGGCGGGGCGGGGGCGGGGCGGGAAGGCGGCATGTCCCAGGCGCCCCGGCGGGGCGGGCCGAGCCGAGCCGTACCGAGCCGCGCTGCGCTGAGCCGGGCCGGGGCCGGAGGATGCTGCGGGCGGGGTGCTGCGCCGCGCTGGCCCGTCGCCACCTGGGCTCGGCGCCGGTGAGTGGGGCCGAGGGGAGAGGGGAGAGCCAGCCGTGCTGAGCTAAGCCGGGCCGGGCCGTGCCGCGCAGGAGGGGCTGAAGCGGACGCCGCTGGACGCGCTGCACCGGGCCCGCGGCGGGAGGATGGTACCGTTCGCCGGCTGGAGCCTGCCCGTGCAATACGGCCGCGGGCACCTCGAGTCGCATCTGCACACCCGGCGGCACTGCTCGCTGTTCGACGTGTCCCACATGCTGCAGGTAGCGGGAGGGGGGCCGGGGGCCGCAGGAGGGGTCCCGCTGCACCACCTCACTCCCAGCCCCTTCCAGACGCGGGTGTACGGGCGGGACCGCGTCCGCTTCCTGGAGAGCCTGGTGGTGGGCGACATCGCCGAGCTGCGTCCGGGACAGGTATGGGGGTCAGCGGGTGGCAACCGGGCAACGGGTGCCCAGCATACGGCCCTGTGGGGGACGGATGCCCCGGCACAGGGTCCCCCCCGTCCCAGCACCTACCCCACAGGGCACCCTGACACTGCTCACCAACGAGCACGGTGGCATCGTGGATGACCTCATCGTCACCAACACGGTGGAGGACCACCTCTACGTGGTGTCCAACGCAGGCTGTGCTGACAAGGACCGGGCTGTCATGGAGGTACGGGCAGGGCTGGGGCAGGGCAGGGCCCCCCAACCTGTCCCCACACTGCAGCCCCATCCCCGCAGGGCAGAGCAGCAGAACTGAGGGCGGCTGGCGGCGATGTGCACCTGGAGGTGTTGGACAACGCACTGCTGGCACTGCAAGGTAGTGGGTCCCCATGCTGGTGGCACTGGGTCTCATCCCACCGGGCCCGATGCACAGTCTTGCACCACCCATCTCGGTGCTGCCATCCCCAAGGCTGATGCCTGTCCCCTCCAGGGCCCTCCATGGCACAGGTGCTCCAGGCCGGGCTGCCAGATGACCTGACCAAGCTGACCTTCATGACCAGCACAGCCACCACCGTCTTTGGCGTGCCGGGCTGCCGTGTGACACGCTGTGGCTACACCGGCGAGGACGGTGTGGAGGTACGGGGCACCGCGGGGCACCATGGGGCAGCTGCTCCCTGCAGGGCGCTGTGCCCCCTGACCACCCCATCCTGCACAGATCTCAGTGCCCGCAGGACGAGCCGTGGAGCTGGCTGAACGGCTGCTGGGCTGCCCCGAGGTGTGGCCGGCAGGGCTGGCAGCCCGGGACAGCCTGCGCCTGGAGGCCGGGCTCTGCCTCTACGGCAGCGACATCGATGAGAGCACCACGCCAGTGGAGGCCGGGCTGCTGTGGACCCTGGGTAGGTGCAGGCCGTGTCCCATTGCCAGGCCTGAAATGCAGGTCCCAGCTGCCAGGCCTGAAGCACAGACCTCCCGGTGTCAGACCCAAAGCGCAGCCCTTCAGTGCCAGGCCCAAAGCGCAGGCCTCAGCCCTCTGTGCCCATAGGGAAGCGCCGGCGCGCAGCCAAGGACTTCCCCGGTGCAGCCATCATCATGGAGCAGGTGAAAGAGAAGCCAAAGCGGAAGCGCGTGGGGCTGACATCCGTGGGTCCCCCCCTCCGTCCACCTGCCGCCATCCTGGGCCCCGAGGGCACACCTGTGGGCACGGTGACCAGCGGCTGCCCCTCGCCCTCCCTGGGCAAGAACATCGCCATGGGCTACGTGCAGGCTGCGCACAGCCGCCCCGGCACCACGCTCACCGTTGAGGTGAGGAAGAAGCAGCACCCGGCGCTGGTCACCAAGATGCCCTTCGTGCCCACACACTATTACATGGCCAAGTGAGACCTGCCTCCATTAAAGCCCCTCGCCCATCTCCCGCCTCGTATCTGGCGCTGGGGCAGCACAGGGCGGTGGGGGGTGCAGTCCTTTAATGGCGCGGTGCTGGCGGTGGGCGCTCCTCATTCGCGGTGCGTCTTTCCCGGCTCAGCTGCCGTGCCGTCCCTGTGGAGATGGGGGCATCAGTGGGGGGACAGGGAGAGGGCGGTGGGTGCACCCAGCTGGGGGACGCAGAGCAGGGCACACGGAGATGGGGACAGGAGTGGAGGATGCAGCCAGAGGGAGGGCACAGTGATGGACTGGACTGGGGGGGATATACTGCAGCAGAGTGGGCGTAGGGGCACAGAATGGGGGGGAAGTAGGGGAGTGTGGGGGTGGCGGGATGCCCTGGGCTGTGGGCACATAGGGGGGCACACCAGGGTGGGGACTTACACTGAGGGCACATCCTGAGGGGCAGCGGGCCGGGGGCACAGCAGGGAGGCACACAGAGGGTGGGCACACACAAGGACACAGCAATGCGCGAGGACCCAGAGGGAATGCGCTGGGGTGGCGGCAGGGGGAGGGCAGGCGGCTCCGGGGACACAGCAGGAGCTGCGTGCTGGGGCTCGTTGGTTTGGAGATGCGGGACGAGGACAGGCACCGGGAGGTAGTGGGACAGCGGCAAGGGGGGGGCAAGCAGCGGGATACACAGCTGTGGGGACCCGGGGAGGGGGGAGGCGTTCGCTGGGACGCGCCGGGACGGGACGCGCGGTGCCGGGCGGACTCACCGGGGCGGGCAGTGCCGCTCGGCGGCGCTTTCGCGTCGGGCGGGGGACAGCGAGTGTGCGCGGGGCCGTGCGGGCGCCGGGCCGCCGTCGGTGCCCGGGGCGGGGGGGCGGCGGGCGGCCGGGCGGTAGCAGAGCGCGGCCACCTCCTCGCCGTAGGCGCGCCACGCCAGGCGGGTGGCCATCAGACTGAGCCCCAGCCACAGCAGCAGCAGCTGGCACAGCGCGGCACGCACGTCCTGCGTCGCCCACTCGGCCGCCAGCTCCCGGCCCAGCGCGCCCAGGGCCTCCCAGACCGCCGCCATCGCCGCCGCCGCCGTCGCCGTTACCGGACGGGGCGGGGCGCGGCGCGGCGGGGCGGGGCGGCGGCATGGCGGGTGCGCGCTACTCCCGGCAGCTGTGCGTGCGGGGCCGGGGGCGGCGGGGTTCGGCCGCTCGCTTTCCTGTCGCTGAGCGCCCGCCGTGCCCCACAGGTTGGTGCTGGGAGACGGCGGGCGGCGGCTGCGGGAAGCCGCGGTGCTGGTGGGGGGGCTGCGCGGGGTCGGAGCGCAGGCGGCGGCGGCGCTGGTGCTGGCCGGGGCGCGGAGGGTCGTCCTGCACGAGAGCGGCGCGGCGCGGGGCGGGGTGCAGGTACGGTGTGCGGGGTCACGGCGATGGTACGGGTGCTGCTGGGGGCTCGGTGTGGGTGCCGTCCCTTTAAATGGGTCCGGGGGGTTGGGAGAACGCGTATGGGTACAGGGATGCATCCCGGTGCGTGGATGGGTCTCAATAAGGGATGCGAGTTGCTCGGTAATGGTTATAGGTGTGGATCCTGCTGATGGCGTGGTGGTACGGTGCGGGTGGGGGTGCTGGTGGGGCGTGGGTATGGGCGAAGGTTCCGGGAATGAACACGGGTACAGGCTGGGTGCTGATAATGAGTGCGAGTACGGGCAGGGATCCCATTAATGGGTGTGGATGTGGGCAGGGTCCCAGTAAGGGGTACGGGGATGGGTGGGGGTCTGCGGAGCGGAGCTCGGCTGTGGGTGCGAGATGTGGGGCTGGGGATTCCAGTAATGGTTATGGAGAAGCCATGGGGATGGGAACGGCTGGGAGATCTCTGTCCCAGTGGGGATTGGGGTGCCTGTGCTAGGCATGTGTGTGGGCTCTCTGTTCCGGGTCTGGTTCCCATCAGTGCCGCAGGCCCACGAGTGCCGCTGCCCCACAGTTCCTCCAGGGGGAGTGCAGTGTGGAACAGAACCGTGCTGAGGCATCCCAGCGGCTGCTGGCCGCACTGAACCCTGATGTGGAAGTGTCAGTGCACTCTGGGGAGCTATCGGAGGAGTTCCTCACTACCTTCCAGGTGAGTCTGGCCCCCAGCCCAGGGGTGCCATGGGGCTCCAGTGCCCACTGACAGCCCTGTGCAGGTGGTGGTGCTGACCGAGTGCCCGCTGGAGGAGCAGCTCCGTGTTGGGGACATCTGCCATGCCAATGGTGTCTGCTTCATCGTGGCCGATGCCAAAGGGCTGGCAGGGTAAGGACTTAGCACTGCGTGGCACCAGGTGGCTGCCCCTTCTTACCCTCCCCTGTCCCTCCGTGCCCCCATAAGCCTGGTGGATGGGACCTGCCCACTCTCAGAGCTGCATTGTCCCTGCCCAGGCAGCTCTTCTGTGACTTTGGGGAGCACTTTGTTGTCCGTGACCCGGGGGAAGGGGACCCGCTCTGTGCCACTGTGCAGCACATCTCCCAGGTTGGAAGCTCTGGTTGTCCCTGCACCCCAGCATGGCAGCTTTTCAGCTCCATGTCTCTGACCCAAAATGCTGCCTGGATTGAAGCTGCACGCTCACATCTCCTCTGCTCAGGGCAACCCAGGGATCGTGACATGCGCAGGGGCAGACAAGAACTATGGCCACCGCTTCAGTGATGGTGATCTGGTGATGTTTTCTGGTGTGGAGGGCATGGTGGAGCTGAACAGCAGCGAGCCCTGCCCTGTACGCGTGCTGGGTGAGTGCCCGCCCCGGGGTCTGCGGGGGTCCCTGGTGGTGACCGTGACACCCATCCTCCCCTGCTCCCCAGATGGCTTCAGGTTGGAGATTGGTGACACAAGCACCTTCTCGCCATACTGCGGTGGGGGCCGGGTTTCGGAGGTGCGGCCACGCCAGGAGCACTCGTATGTACGTGCCCCCGTGCCACTGCAGTGCCACCCCCAGCAGCAGCCCCGTGCCCCCACCGTGTCCCCACTGTCCCCATGCTGTGTCAGCAGGAGCCCCTCCGCCAGGCGCTGGCGATGCCCAGGATCCAGGCCAGGAGCTCCACGGAGCTGCTGCGCAGCCGCAGTCTGCACGCTGCCTTCCAGGCCCTGCACACCTTCTGCCAAGAGCGGCACTGCCTGCCTCAGCCCCGGGCATCTGTGAGTTTCCTCCCAGCCCCCCCGGCTCGTGCCCCGTACAGCACTGCCATTGCCCCTCTACCCACAGGAGGACGCTGAGCGTGTGCTGGAGCTGGCACGTGAGCTGGGCTCGGCGCTGGGCCCCCTGGATGAGGACGTCGTGCGAGCGTTTGCCAGCGTCAGCGCTGGGGAGCTGTGCCCGGTGGCATCCTTCATTGGTGCGCTGGCTGCGCAGGAGGCGATGAAGGTGAGCAGCCGTGCGGCGAGCTCTGCTGTCTCCAAGCGCTCGGTGGCCACGAGAGGGCACCTGCTGCCTTCCTGGGGACACCGGGTGCTCAGAGCAGGGCCCTGGGCGGGGTGATGTGGTGCCAGTGCTGGGCACGGGCACTTCTCTCGCCCCAGGCCATCACGGGGAAGTTCCTGCCCCTGGATCAGTGGTTTTACTTTGACGCCCTGGAGTGCCTGGCCGTGGAGGGGGCTGCGAGGCTGATGCCGGAGGACTGCGCCCCGGTGAGTGGCTGCTGCCGCTGGGTGCCGCAATGCCGTGCCCACCCCCACTGACAGCGATCCCTCTCCCGGCAGAGGGGATCCCGCTACGATGGACAGATTGCCGTGTTCGGGGCTGACTTCCAGGAGGAGCTGGGCCGCCAGAAGTACTTTGTGGTGAGCGGGGTGCGGGCAGTGGCGTGACACCGCCGGGGCGTTGGGGTGCAGTGGCTGTGCCTCGCAGGTGGGAGCCGGCGCCATCGGCTGCGAGCTGCTGAAGAACTTTGCCATGATGGGGCTGGCAGCGGGGCCGGGCGGGGACATCACCGTCACCGACATGGACACAGTCACACACTCCAACCTGCACCGGCAGCTTCTCTTCCGTGAGGCTGACGTGGGGGTGAGCTCCTCCCAGGGGGGACCTGGGCGGTGCGGGGATGTGAGACAGGAGAGAGCCATCCCCGCTCTGTGCCCTGCAGAAGCCGAAGGCGCAGGTGGCTGCAGCCGCTGTACGGCTCATGAACCCGGACATCAAGGTGACGGCCCACCAGGTCCAGCTGGGCCCCGGCACCGAGAAGCTCTTTGGGAACGCTTTCTTCCAGCGGCTGGATGGTGTTGTCAGTGCCCTGGACACGCTGACGGCCCGTGAGTGCTTAGGTGGGGCAGGGATGAGCCCTGTCTCCATGCTACCAGGATGGATGCATCCCCCCTTCTCCCCACAGGCGCCTACCTGGAGAGCTGCTGCATCCGCTCCCGCACGGCGCTGCTGGACACGGGCACAGAGGGGGCAAAGGGCAATGTGCTGGCCATGGTGCCCCCCCTGAGCCAGCCGCTGGAGCCAAGCAGCGACCCTGCAGATAGGAGCTTCCCACTGTGCACACTGCGCTTCTTCCCCTCTGCCATCGAGCATACGCTGCTGGTATGGATGTGGATCCTTGCACCTGGCCCTTTGGTGTCCCATCCCATCCCATCCCGCCAGCAGGATGTGGCCCCAGCCGCTTCCTGCCAGGGTATCACCACCATAGTGAATAGGGAAGGGTCGCAGTGTGGGAACCCAGCACTCAGCCCTGTCCCCTCAATGCAGTGGGCTCGTGATGAGTTCGAGGGGCTCTTCCAGCTGCCTGCAGAGAGCGTGAACCGCTTCCTGGGGTGAGTACAGACTCCCTGCCCTGGGGCCAGGGTCAAGGGACAGACGGCCATGTCCTGCACGTGGCGTCACTGCGGGCATGCTGGTAGTGCCTAGCTTTGCAGGGAGCTGCCCGATGAGCCGGTGCGATGGGAGGGCCTGGTGGTGCCCAAGCAGGTGCAGAGGAGCCTGCAGGAGCGGCCGCGGGACTGGGGGGACTGCGTGCGCTGGGCCTGCCTGCACTGGCAGCTCTGCTACCACGACAGTATCAAACAGCTGCTGCACGACGTGCCGCCCTCGCATGTGAGCACGGGTCCCCCTTGTGCCATTTGATGGAGAGGCGTCCCTGGCCCTGACTCCGCTTTCCCTGTGGCAGGAAACCAGCCCCGGTGTGCCCTTCTGGTCTGGGGACAAGAGGTGTCCCCACCCACTGATTTTTGACCCCAGCAATGTGAGTGCATGGCTTGTGGGGCCAGGGAGAACTGCTGGTGGGCACTGGGCGCAGCAGAGCTGCTCAGACAACCTGAATGAGCTCTGCAGCATGGAGGATGAGCGGCACCTCCATCCCCCCCTGTACCGCAGGACACCCACCTGGCATACGTGGAGGCTGCTGCCCAGCTCCTGGCTCACACCTACAGGCTGCCATCCTGTGGTGACCGAGTGGCCACACGGGATGTCCTCTGCCACGTGGTGCTGCCACCCTTCGTCCCCAAGGACGGACGCTACGTCCCCACAGCAGAGGGCATGGAGGAGGTGGAGGAGACTCTGGGTAAGGCTGCATGTCTGTATCCCCAAAACCCGATGAAGAGGCACGGGCCAGGAGGTGCAGTTGTGATAACGAGTTCCTGGCCTGTGCCCCTGCATCCCCAGAGCCTGGACAGATGCTGGATCTCGTGCAAGAGCTGGCGCAGTGGAAACAGGAGCTAGGAGGGGGCACAGAGGCAATGGACCCCATCCACTATGACAAGGTACCGCAGCTGCAGGGCTCGGGGAGGTGGCACTGCTTCCCATGGAATGCCCTTGTCTCCACGCTCTTCCCTGCAGGACAGTGACCTCCACTTAAGCTTCATCACGGCTGCATCCAACCTGCGTGCAGAGAACTACGGCATCCCACCTGCGAGCCGGCTGACGGTGAGTGCCATCCCCAAGGGTCCCCCTCCCCACAGGGCAGCTGGTGACACCCCTCTTGTCCTCAGAGCCAGCGCATTGCTGGGCGCATTGTGCCCGCCATCATCACCACCACAGCGGCCGTGGCTGCCCTGGCGTGCCTGGAGGTTTACAAGCTGGCGTGGAGATGCCGGGACCTCCAATGCTACCGCAACAGCAACCTGTTCCTGTCTGTATGCCTGTTTTTCCGCATCCAGCCCCCGCCAGCCCCCACATACTGGGTAGGACCCTCTTCCTGAGGCGCTCCAGCAGCCCCACGGTGTGCCCCACGGCTAGTGTGTGCAGGGCTGCAGCAGCCACTCGCATCTGGCTGATGGGAAGCAGCTGCAGCAGCCGGCGAGCAGCTGGCACTGGGCCCGGGGCTGCCTGCAGCTGTGGGGGAAGCAGAGCTGGGGTCCCCCCCTTTCTGCCAGAGGGGGGAAAGCAAAGCCACATCGGGGCGGGGGGGCAGGCCCAGATTGGGACCGTCTGGGTGATAGAGGCCCCTTTGTCTGGGGGTTTATGGCGTGCGAGGCAGCCCTTCCTGCGCGGCAGGAAGCGCCGATTGGAACCAGATTGGCCCGGGGGGCCCAGGGCCGGGGGCAGGAAGAGGGGGAGGAAAAGGGCCTTCATCGCCTCCGTGCCGGCTACAGCTCAGCTTCAGGCTGCCCAGCCACCCCACGACCCTCCTGCTTCTGTGCCCTGCCGCCCAGTCCTGTGCCATAGCCTCGGGGTGGCCTGGATGCATTTGGCACGGTGCCGGGGCAGAGGATGTTGCTGTGGTGCTCCGTGCCCTTTGGTCCCCATCTGTGCCCAGCATCCTGCTCTGGGGCTCCCAGTGCTGCTCCATGACACTTCATGCTGGGATGTGGCAGGAACGCTGTCCTATGGCTTGGTGCCTGGTGCTACCCTGGGGTCCTGAGAGCCCACCAAGGCTGTGGCCAGGGCTTGGGGGCCATGGTGTGCGTGTGGCTGTGGTGGTACGGATGGGGTTAAGGCCTCTCCCGGCACAGGCAACAGAAGGCAGGACGCGAGGGCGGCCCGTTGCCAGCATCCGCGGGACACGGCTGGGGCCAGAGCAGCGCTGCCTGCAGCGGGGGCAGATGGTGGACAGCCATGCCAAGTGCTGGGGTCGCATCCTGCATTCGGGCCGCAGCCAGGGTCACAAAACCCCCGGGGGCCACAAGCGCAAGAAGAGGCGATTGTGTGGGGCTGGGCTGCTTGTCAATGGGGCTTTGTGCGTGGTTGGGGCCAGCGGTGCCGGGGGATGGCCGTGTCCCATTCCCATCTCCCTGTCCCCGAACTCCCTCTCCTCAAACAGCCCTGGTCCATTCTCCCTGCTCTCCTCGCAGTACCGGGGAAAGGAGTGGAGCTGCTGGGACCGGCTGGAGGTGCGTGCTATTGGGGAGGACGGGCAGGCGATGACGGTGCGGGAGCTGCTGGCTCGGCTGCAGGAGGAGCACGGGTGGACCGTCACCAAGCTCCTGCGTGGCAGCACCATGCTGTACGATGCAGAGGAGGATGAGGAGATGCAGGCACAGCAGCAGGCACAGAGGTAGGCAGCCGGCTCTGGCCGTGCCCTAGTGCTGCAGGGCCCCCATCTCTCCTGCTCCGCTCCAGCTGCAGAGTAAACATCCTGCTGCCGGCAGCGCTTCCTCTGCCGGACCCCCGCCGGCCCCCCACCATAGGGGCTGGGGAGCGGGCCTGGGCTTCGGCCCGGTGTGGCTTTCCCAGCCTGAGGGGCCCAGCACACCGTTCCTTTCCCGGCCGCAGGCTGTCAGATGGTGTGGAGCGCTCCGCGGAGCCGCAGCAGCTGGAGCTGCAGTACGTGTGTGCCGGGGATGAGCTGGAGGACGTCTGCCCCCCACTTCTCTGCACCCTGCCCTGAGCCCGTGGGGTGCCCAGATGTCACCGCCTGCCCCTCGCAATAAAAGCTGCAGGATAAGCTGTGACACGTGCTCACTGCGTCGCACCTCTGCCGGCGCTGCGCCCCACAAAGGCTGCCGTGCGTCCGTTTCGTACAAAACGGGGGTTTATTTACAGCGGGGAGGGGGTGGCGGGGCTAGATGTAGCCGATGACGTCGTTGCAGATGATGGGCTGGCGGCTGCGGCTGTTCATGAGGGCGGTGAAGCGGTGGAAGTCCGTGGCCAGCTGGGCGATGTTGCTGTGGGACTGGTGGAAGCAGGCTCCCTTGGGCTGCCCGCCCAGCCCCAGCGGGCACGACAGGCGCTTGGCGGGGTCGCGGCCCCCCGGCCGGGCTCCCTCTGCGGCGCGGGGCCGGGCCATGCTGGCCAGCTTGCGGCGCACGTTGCCCGAGAGGCTGAGCAGGAAGGCGGGCGGTTTGCCCAAGCGGCGCGAGGACTCGGCGGGCGGTCGACGGCGGGGCTCGGCGCCCACCTCGGGCAGGTCCATCCAGTTCTCCACCAGGTCGGCGAAGCAGTTGTCCCCCAGCACCAGAGGCTGCCGGTTGCGGCTCTGCGACAGCAGCGACACCGTCCAGTCCCTCCCGTCGGCCGGCTCGAGCGCCCGCCACTGCTCCAGGCAGGCGTCCGACGTGGATTTGGGGCGGGCGCGGCGGGCGGGGGCGGGCGCGGGGGTGCCGGCGGAGAGTCGGTGTGCGCGCTGGCAGGGTGGGGGGTGCCGCCGCAGCACCGGCGCTTCGTCCTCGCGCCACGTGCCCCCCGACGCCTCCGAGTAGCCCGAGTCGCACTCCAGGCTGCGCACGCTGGCGGGGGGCGAGCGGGCGGCCGGGCCCCCCTGCTCCTCCTCGCCGCAGGCCGAGGGGGGGCGGCGGGGCGCGGGGAGGGGGTCGCGTTCGGCCGGCCGCGTGCCGGGCATGTGCTCCCGGCGGCAGCGCTGCGGGGAGAGGGCGGCTCAGCGTCGGGCCGGCGGCGGGCGCAGGTCTCGGCTCGCCCGCGGCCCCGGGCTCCGCTTTCCCGCAGCCCCGGCCGGCGTGCGGCGGCATGTCAGAGAGCGCGCGGCGCCCAGCCCGGCCGTGCCTGCGGGAAGTGACACGGGGCCGAGGCACGTAGCAGCCCCGCGCCCCCGCCCCGGCCCCTCACTGCCACGGGGCGCCCCGATCGGTGGGACGGGACGGGGCGACGTCCCCAGGGAGGGCCTTCCGCTCGGGGACGCCGGGTGCCCGTCGGGCCCGCTCGCCCCGGGCCCGCTCGCACCCCGACTGCGCGGGGCTGAGGAGCGGCTAGGGAACGGGGAGCGCTGCCGAGCGGCAGCGGAAGGAGAGCCCCGTCCCCGCGGCCGGGCCGCTCCTCTTTCTTGAATTCCTATTGTCTGAGCCCAAAAGCTGGCTGTTACGTCCGCTTCCCTCTCGCGGAAAGCCGAGCGCGCAGGGCGGCCCGCTCAGCGTCCTGTCCCACCGCCCGCAGCAGCGCCCCGTCCCTTCTCCCCTGTCCCCACGTCCCTCTCCCTTCTCCCTCTCCCCGGTCCCAGCTGGCGCCGCGCCACCGCCCCGCACCACCCTGTCCCGCGGGAGCCGTGGGGCGCTGGGAGGGCGCGGGGCGGGAGGGGCTCCGCGGTTCCCGGTGCCGCTCGGGTCGGGGCCGCGGCTGACAGCTCGCCGCTCGTTCCCCTCCGGCCTCGCGCCCCCCGCCCGCGCCCCGCGCGCGGTGCTCCCACGCGTGATGTCACCGCGCTGATGTCACTCGCGGCCCCGCGCCCCGACACGCCGCGACCCGTCCGTCCTCCCGCACCCCGCGGCACTCACCGGCTCGACGCGGCGCTGCCCGAGACCGCCGTCCAGACGGGCGCTGTGCATCCCCGGCCCGGCCCCGCTCCCGGTGCCGGTGCCGGTGCCGGAGCGGCCGCGGCCCCGCGGAGCAGCGGAGCGCGGCTCAGTCCCGGCCCTGCCCGCCGCCTCCCGCCGCGGCGCCGCCCCGCGTGCCGCAGCCAATGGGACCGCCGTAACGTGAGCTCGGGCCGTACCGGCACCGGCACCGCCCCGCCTCGCCCGCCGCCCCGGGGCCCCGCTCGGCGCGCCCGGACACGACCCGCGGGGCGAGGCGGCCCCGTTACGGGCGCCGGGCTCCGAGCGGGAGGGGAGCGGAGACCCTCCGCCCGCCCGCGCTCCGCCAGCGCCTGTTAATTGCCGGCTATTAGCCGCTCTGGTTTGCTAATGAAGGGTTACAATTAGCCGCCCGATAATTCTGCCGGTTCCCGAGGCGCGGCGTGGATCGGCGGCCGCAGCGGGGCCGTGACCTGACCCCCTCCCACCCCGGGGCTGGGCTGGGAGCCGCGGTGACCGGCGTGACGCCGGGCATGGGTGGTGCCCGACTCCCGTGGCAACGCGCTCCGGCTTGTCCCAAACAGCTGCCAAGCCATGGGCACGTACGGACACCTCACCTTCCTCCTCCTCCTCCTCCATGCCCCAGGTAGGCACCCTGCGGTTCAACGGCACCCAAAGGAACTAAAAGAAGAGGGACGGGACAACAGGGTGCCCCGGGTGCCCCCGGGTGCCCACCCCAGGATGGGCACAGGGGGTGGCAGCTTCAGAGTCTGGGACACATCTGGGGTATCTTGGGGACATCTCCGAGGCACCCTTGGGGCACTGCAGGGACAGCCTGGCAGGCTGCAGTGACACTCTGCTCTTTGCAGGGACCTTTGTAAAGTCAGCAGGTAAGAGCGGCGGGGCCACCCATACCCCCATGGGGACGGGGGACAGGACCCAGTTCCCTGACACAGCCATGCGAGCTGCTGGTGGCAGCGGCCACACGAGGCCAATCCTGGGGTGTCCCACCAGCCCTGCCCGACCTGCCACGCATAGTGACACTGAGTGAGGATGCTGCACCGGGCGCCCGCGTGGCCGAGGTGGCTGCGTCCTGCAGCAATGCCAGCAGCAGCCCTGACGTCACGCTGCAGCGCGTCGAGTCCGCTGTCCCCGTGGGCTCCAGTGTCACCCCACGCAACGCCGATCCCAGCCACCCCTTCAACCCCGTTGCAATCAGTGCCGATGGTGTGCCCGCTTCCTCATTTAGGGCAGAGGTACGGCTGGGGGGCAGGGAGCAGAACTGAAATGTGTGGCACCCTGCTGAGCAGCGTGTCCCCACACAGGTGACGCTGCGTGCCGGCGCAGAGCTCGATGCCCACCAGGTGAACTGGTACGCGCTGGTGCTGCGCGCTGCCTGTCCTGGCGAGCAGGAGGTGACGGGGCAGCTGTTTGTGCGGGTGACATCGGGGCAGGCGCTGCGCTGTGGCTTCCCGTTTGCCAGCACTGGTGGGGACGTGGTGCGGGTGTCAGCAGGCGTGGCACCCCGTGCGCCCCTGTATGCGGTGCAGGCTCAGCCACAGGGCGGGCTGACGGTGAGTGCCAGCTGTGCCATGTCCCACAGCCTCCCAAAGGGAGCAGACCCTGGGGACAGCCAGGTGCAGGGATGGAATTCTCATCTCTCCTCTGACAGTTCCAGCTCAGAAATAGCGGCACACCACTCACGCTGACCCATCAGGGGCTGGTGCTGGCGCCTGATGGTGGCTTCAGCCCCAGCAAGGACACCCAGGTGGGCACGAGTCCCCGCTCTGACAGCACCGTCATCGCCTCTTTGGCACCACACACAGCCCTGTGTCCTGGTCCCCTCAGGCAGACCCCAGGAGTGCTCAGCTCTCTTCTTGCTGTCCCTACCCCCAGCTCCGTCCCCTTCTGTATCCCATCCCTGCCCCTATTTGCATTCCTGACTTCATCCTCATCCCTGTCCCTGTTCCCATCCCCATGCCAGTCTCCTCATCCTCATCCCTACTCTCATTCCTATTCCTAACCCAAGCCCTATTCATGGCCTTCTTCATCCCCAGTCTTTGCCTCTATCCCTGTCCCTATCCTGCCCATTTCCCTCCCCGTTCCTATGCCTGTCTCCTCCTTCATTGTTGACCCCACCCCATTTCCATCCTTGCCTCCATCCTATCCCTATCCTCCAACTCCATTGCCATCCCAGTCTTCATTCCTGTCCCCATCTCCATCTCCATCCCCATCCCTGATGGCAGTGTCACTCCTGGCTGTCTCACAGCCACCCCTGTGCTGCTCACAGACATTCAGGCTGGAGATAGAGGTGATGGATCGGCATGGGCAGAACTGCAGTGGGGTCGTGACGGTGGAAGTGCTGCCATCGCGCCATCCCCGTGTCACCATCCTGTGAGTGAGGCTGGGTGGGTGGGGGTGCTGGTAGCACCAGGCTGTGCCACACTGCCCGCTGTGCCCGCAGTGCTCCGCAGCAGGACGTGGTGGTGCCGGAGGACATTGGTCCCTTGGTAGTGGTCACGCAGGTCCGTGCCAGCGGGGCCAACATCCGCTATGCCATCCTCGCTCCCACGTCACCAGCGCTCTTCACCATCGATGAAAGTGAGCATGGTGGCAGGGTCCCCGTGGCTGCCCTGTCCCCAGCCCTGCACTCGGCTCAAGGCTGTGCCACCTCCTGCAGTGACAGGTGAGATCCGCAGCACGCGTCGGCTGGAGGTGGCCGGTGCACAGCTCCTCATCCAGGCATACAATGCGCTGCAGCCCTCTGACCAGGACACCATCGTGCTCAATGTCACCGTGAGGGGGACAGACCAGCGGGCACCATCCTGTGTGCCAGCCCTCTATGTGTATGGTTCAAGGGTTTTGCGGGTGATGCTCCACAGTGCTTGGGAAGTGGAGCTGAGCAGCAGCCACTCCCACACAGGTCCCAGGTGCGTGAGACCTTGTCCCCTGGCAGCACGCTGGTGACACTGAGGTGCACTGACCCTGCTGGCGATGACGGGTCCCTGCATTACACGCTGGAGGGGCCACCAGGCTCTCGCTCCCACTTCCACATGGAGGGGCCAAAGCTGAAGGTGTGTGGGGACAGAGCTGGTGAGCCCCCACTGGGGGAGCAGGGTCCTTCTGGCACCCAGCGGCATGGCAGGCTGTGGCTCTGGGGGATGCCCAGCACTACAGGACACCATGGCTTGGTAGGTCAACACCACTCTGGACTATGACACTGAGGCAATGGCTGCTATGGGCTTCCAGCTGACGGCCACCATCGTGGTGACAGCCAGGGGACAGCCTCTGAGGAGCAGTGAGTGCCCATATCCCCTGCACCCTGTGCCCATGTCCCCTTCGCCCTGGGGAAGGTCAAAGTAGAGATGTGCAAAGCTCCCTTTGACCCCCAAATCAACACACAGCGGAGGAAATGCTCCTCTCCTGTGGCCCCAGTGATGCCCAACCCCTAAGGCACCAGTGTGGCACCGTCCCAGTGTCCTTATGGAGCATGCCCAGTGCAGTGTGGGCCATGGGATGCTGCCAGCGCAGCTGAGCTGCTGTGTGCTGTGCAGCCCGCATACCCGTGCTCGTGACAGTGATACCCGTCAACGAATTCACACCGGAGTGCCCCAATGGCATCATCTTCACCGTGTCAGAGACAGCACCTTTTGGCAGCATCGTGGGGCACGTGGTTGGCACTGACCGTGACCGCCCACCGGACAGCCTCGAGTACAGCCTGGAGGGGGGCACTGGCCCTGCACAGCCCTTCTCCATCGATGCACGCACCGGTGAGTGCCCAGCCCTTCCCCTGCCCCACAGCACCCACGGGTGCCAGAGAGCTCACACGACCCCACAGGTGAGATCCGTGTGGTTGGGCCCCTCAGCCCCCCGCGGCGTGCTGGCTACCGGCTGACAGTGCGGCTGACGGACACCCACAATGATCTGGACCCATTGAACCGGAGGAGCCGCCTGTGTGATGTGGCCGTGCGCCTGCAGGTGTGAGCGTGATGCCGGGGTGCCACTGGTGCAGGACGCTGTGCTGCATCCCTGTGGCTGTCCCAGGGGTGGCTCTGGGCTGGAGGTACCCACGGGGACCGGGTGGGATGGAGCTGAGCCACCTCTGCTCCTGGCAGGCCATGCCTCAACGGGCACCACTGTGCAACCCGGAGGTGCAGGAGCTGAGAATCACAGCTGGGACAGGCAGCCGGCAGCCTGTCACCCACCTGGTGTGCAGTGGGGACCCGGAGGGCACCACGCTGTCCTATGCCATTGTCGGAGGTGAGGAACAGCCAAGCACCGTGATTTGTCTCTTCAGCACGGCCGGGGTGCTGAGCAGACCCTCCTATGCAGGCAATGAGGATGGGCACTTTCGGCAGGAGGGAAGCGTGCTATCCTACATCCCCACCGGCCTGGCTGAGCCCCGCACATTCGTGCTGCTGGTGGAGGTGTGGGGCAGCAGTGGGTCCCCACGCCGCAGCACCGTGCTGGCACTGGTGGTGCACGTCACACCCCGCAGCACCCCAGTGCCACCCAGCACCACCACCCTGCACACGGTGAGCAGCATCCCATGGCCCGGGTGCCTCAGGCTGGGACACCACCTGGCCTCTCACCTCTGCTTCTGCAGACGCTGCAGAAGGAGCCACTGGTGGTCAGGCGGACGGAGCTGACTTGGCTCCCACCAGCTTGGTTTGTGGCAGTGCTGACTGCAACCAGCGCCCTGTTCCTGGCCAGCCTGTGCTGTGTGGCACACAGTGTGCTGCGCAGGTGAGCCCCAGCCCGCAGCATGGCACAGCACAGTGAGGTGGCGGCTCAGGGCTGCTTTCTGTTCTTCCTGCAGCAGCCGAAACCTCAGCAAGGTGCTTCTGAGTGAGAGGTGGGTGCTGGGCAGTGGTGAAGGCTCCCGTGGTGTCCCTGCAGCCGTATGTGAGATGTGGCACTTGGGGAGGGGATGTTGATGTCACCAGGGAGTTGCTCTGAGGAGCAACCTCTGCTTTAGAGTAAGGGCACGGAGCAACGAGCGCAGGGATGGCGGTTTTACCAGGGAATGGCCGTGCCAGTGGCCAGGCTGGGGGCAGAAACTGTGCAGGGTGGCACAGTGCAATGCAAGGGTTGTTCCTGACACCGGCTGGAGAAAGGGGTGACAAGGAGCTTTGAAAGGCTGTGGAGGGAGAGCCTGAGGGGCGGCAGAGCCATCCCAGCCCATGAAAGGCACCCGTATAGCGACAAGGAGCCACATCAGCCTTCGGGGTGGCCGACGGCCGCCTACAGCTACATAACCCAGCGCTACGCGACGTCACGGATGGGCACGGAGCCGGGAGCGCGGGAGCAGCCTCCGGGTGACACGCGTGGCTCGGAGCCACCCGGGGTGCCGTCCGGCGGGACCCGCGCTCCCGGGTGAGGAGCGCCCTCCCTTCCCCCCTTTTCCCCCGCAGCTCCCGGGACGCGGTAGCGCAGAGCAGCGCCCGCGAGGAGGAGCGGAGCCGCCCGGCCGCCCGCAGCCCGTCCCTCTCGGCACCGCAGCCCTTCGACGGCCGCGCGCACGACCCACGTGAGCGCCGCGCCCCGGGTGAGAGGACGGGGCCGAGGGCACGGGCTGAGCGCCGCTCCCCCCGCAGGGACCGGCAGGGACTATCTGTTCAACAGCGTCACCGGGGCACGGCGCTGGATCTGAGCACCCCACGCGGGACGGGGATCCCGAGCGCCCGCCGTGCGCGGGGCGCAGACATTAAACAGTGCACGGACCGCGCGCCGCGCCGTCACTGCCGCGGGGCGCCCTGGGGAAGCGGGGGGAGGTCGGCGCCTCGAGGGGAGCCGGGTGGGAGCCGAGAGGGCAGAACCGAGGCGCGGCCACGGGGCGGTACTGTGCCCGGACGGCCGCCCTCCCCGCGGGGCCGCTGCGCTCCACTCCTCGGGCCGTGCCCACAGAGGGGCTCCCACCGCGGCCCGCGCTCGCTGCGCAGCGCCCATTGGTCCGGCGTCCTCCCACTGGTGGCCAATGAGACGGCGCGCCCTGCGGGGAGGCGGGCCGTCGGGGGGTGTCACGTGTGCCTAACGTGCGCGGCCATCCGGAGGCGGTCCGCGCTCGGAAAGGGGCGGGGCGGTTTTAGGCTTGACTGACGTCTGTTCCGACCTATCAACGCGCCCGCTTCGGCCCCGGCGGGAGGGGCTCGGCTGCTGATTGCCGCAGAGCGCGGCGGGGCGGGCGTTGGACGGCGCGGTTGCTATGACGGCGCGCCCCTGGGGTCCGCCCCCTCGGCGGCCGCCATCTTGTTGTTGATTCGAACGGCGGGGAGCGGGCGGTGGCGCTGGGGGCTCGGGGTTGCCAGCCCCCGGCCGGGCAGGCGGAGCCGCCCCGGTGAGCAAGACGGGCTGAGCTGAGGGCCGGGCACGGAGCGCGGCCCCGCGAGGAGAAAGGGGAGGGAATGGGGTGGGATGGGTTGGAACGGGACGGGTTGGAATGGGACGGGGGGAGCGGCGCGGCGGCGTGGTGGATGAGCGGGGAGGGGTGGGGGTCCGGGCGCGGCGGGAGGAGCCTGGCCGGGTCCGTTTGGGGCTGGAGGTCGGGGGATCCCGGCGTGCGGCGAGCCCGGCGGCAGCCCTAGCGGCCCTCCCTCTGTGCCCTTCCTTCTGCAGAGGCTGCGTGCGGCGAGGAGCCCTCGGAGCGCGGCGGTGCCATGAGAGCGGCATGGTGAGGGAGCGGCGCGGGCAGCGAGCTGAGCGCTCCTCCCGTCGGGCCGGCGCTGCCCCGGCTGTGCTCGGGGATCCGCGAGTCCGAGCGGCCGCCGTGCCCAGTGCGCGTGTGTGTGTGTGTGTGTGTGAGCGCGGCTGGGATGGGCTCGGTTTTGTATCCGAGCTGCTGCGAGGCTCCGTGCCCCTCCATCTTAGAGCTCTGAATCAGCAAAGCCCCCAACGGCGTGCTTCACTGTGTGCTGCTTTTGTCATGCCGGCCTGTCCTGCGTGTTTCTGCTTTCTTCCCTTTGCAGCCGGCTGTCCCAGCTCGGTGTTTCTGAATCCCGGGGCTGGGCTTTGCTGACGGAGCGCTGTATGATGCCGTAGTGGTGTGCATCTCTTGGCTGGGCTGTGTCGGGTTGGCTGGCGGCATGTCTAACAAAGAGCTGCACTGTAACATCTTTATCTGTTGAAGCAACGTGTCTGACCAGGTGACTGATCTGTGTGCTAACGGTCAGGGCTTCAAGGTAGAAGAATACTCTATTCTGGATGTACGTTGCTGGGCTGAGGCTTTGGGCAAGCTGCCTTTTCCTGAAAGCCTGTCAGGAGCTTGATTTAGAATTGGGTGCATCATTGGTTAGGTGTCATCACCATTAACCTAAACAGGCCTACTGTGGGACATCTTAATCCTACATAACAGCTCCTTGTCACTGATGTTGAGGGGTGTTTCCCTGTGGCTGGGTTGGCTTAGCACTGCCCTTGGGTAAGTGCCCTATTTTAGAGCTGGAAGCAGTGGTGCACTTTGAAAAGATTAAGTGTGAACTCATTATGTACCAAGACATCGCGGGGCTGATGTGTCAACTACATAAAGCTCATGTTTTCTGTCTTTTGAGTTTTCCTATTGCTAAATTTTCGTCCAGTAGCTTTAGGAAGTATTTCATTCTCATCCTAGCTTTTTCACCATGAACGTTTCCAGGTGTTTGAATGAGCAACCTGTTCTGTTCTGGTTAGAGCCTATGGGGCTGACTTGGTGTGTCCTTTTCACGGCATTGCCTCTGCTTCCTGTCTAATAAGGACTTCAGGTAGAGCAGGGGCAGTGAGCTTTGGCTCCCTGAGGCAGAAGTCAGTATATACAGTGTTGTAAGTGGGATCTCTGAAGACCATAGGACTGGGAAGGATAGGGGCCTCTTCTGAGCATGTGTTTTTCCTTGGGTGGTTGATGCTCTGGGTATCCAGCAAGTCCCTCGTGGCAGTTTTGTGTGTTTTTGATGTTGAAAAAGAGCAAGAGAGCGTGAATCACTGGTGAGATGAGAGAGGTTTCTAGGATCTGCTTCTAGTCACTGGGAATTTTGTGCCACCTTCTCCACGTAGCTCCTATTGCTTTGAGCTCATATAATTAAAGCCTGCAGCCAACAGGAGGGTCATGCCCTCTCCCTGCTGTTTGTGCCTTACCAGTTTGACCAGGGAGCTAAAGACATTCACCCTGACCAAACTTCTTTCCTCCTGCTTTTGTGAGTAGTACCATGATCTGCTTCATCATAAGGATGGCAATATTGGGCATGACCTTATTTCCAAAATATGCTGGAGGGCAAAATCAAGATTAGATGTGCACTGGGGGATCCCCCTCGAGTGGCAGATTGTACAAGGCAACAGAATTGTGCGTTTCCATTGCCAGTATTGTGAAGTCAAGGTTAAAGTAGCAAGCACTCTGGTCAAAAAATGCCCTAGCTGAAGTTGTACCCGCAGCCTTAATCAGCTAATTAGCCTCCCCGACAAGCATTATAGTTTGTTCTTAATCATGCAGTTCCATGCTATTCTTGTCTATGCTAAGCTTCCTAGTGTTTTCTTCTCTTGTTCCTTCGCCCACGTGTGGTGCTTATTACATTTATTAACCTCTGAAAACGTGACCTTGTGAAGCCCGATGAGCGTGAGGTGATGAGCCCTGCCCAGGCTGGGTGCTGGCTGCTGACCATCTGCTTACAGCCTCCTGCTTTAATAGATCACCAGAGGCCTGTCTAGATCTTGGTTGCGTTTGAGATGTCTCTTCGTTTGTCTGTTTCTCGAGGTTGCCGTGGAACTGGTGAGTGGGTTATGAGGTGGAGCATGCTGTCTCGTGGGTTGTGTTTCGAGTAAGAAGCACGGGTGTTAAGCCTGAAGTTCAGTATGGACGGCCTTTACTCTTGAGCAGGCACATCTCTTGGTTGAAGCTGTAGAATGCCTGATGAAGACCTTCTTTGGGCCATAACCCAGGCACTTAACGCACTGCGACCAGGTTCCCCCAATCCATCCACCATCGGTTAGCTTCAGGATGGTTGATACACACAGCAAAGTTAAGTGGTGATGCTGGGCTGCAGAGTGTTGGAAGGCTGCAGGTTATTGCTGGCAGGAAGCTGCAGCCTGAGTGTTTTTTCTCTCCTGTTGGCAGTGTCAGTCCAGTTGTGGTGCTGGGCAGGGTGTAGGTTTGAACGTGACCTGTGGTGTTTGCAGATGTGTGGCAGTTTAGCAGAGCCCTTACTCTGTGTCTGTGCTGTATGACTTGGCTAAAAGGAATGTCTGTAATTTCTGGCTTCTTTCTTTGAGAAAGAACGGATTAAAAGCTGGGCTACAAAATGCAAGGAGTTCCCTCCTGAGAACTGAGATGGGTGAGCTGGAGGAAGGAGTGAAAAGAACAAAGAAAATGTGACAGAAACCTCTGCAAGAATCAGGTTGACTATTTACATGACTTGTTGTAAACTGAAGGGACCCTTCAGATGCGAATAGCAGTAGCTGGCAGTCTCCTTTTTGTATTCCTGGTGTGACAGGAATGCAGAGCAGGATGCTGGCAAGTGTTTAATCTCAGGTTTGTTGCTGCTGTCATAAGGGTGGTGGGGGAGGAAGAGGAAGTGTCTGCATGGCTGCTTAGTTTCTGTTTTGCAGGCATTGCCTGTACACAGTGCTTTAGCTGTTCTGATGTGGCAGCAGCTGTTATTTTTGGCTTTCCCAGCATGCTGGTTTAGTAGATGCGCTTTCTAATGGATGCAGTTCTCCTAATTGTCTTGTTGGGGTGCTTGTGCTTCCTATGTAGTTCCTTTCAGGTGCAGGTAGTACCTGGGAGCAAGTTATTTGCCTTTTTATTTTCTATATGTATTTTGAGTGGCAATAACTGTGTGAAACAAGCATGCTAAGCTTAAACTGTTATTTTGCATGCTTAAGCTGTTGTTTTGCATAACCCTTGTCAGTATATGGTCAGTTTCACTTACAAGGAATGATGTTACCCCATTCTCGTGGGAGAATCACAGAATGGCTTGAGTTGGAAGGGACCCCAAGTGTCATCAAGCTCCAACCCCACATGCAGGGCCACCAACCTCCATAGCTAATACCAGACCAGGCTGCCCAGGGCTCCATCCAGCCTGGCCTTGAACACCTCCAGGAGCAGAGCATCCACAGCCCCTCTGGGCAGCTGTTCCAGCACTTATTCCAGAACAAGGAGATAAGGTTCTCTATCAGAAGGTGCCTCCGTATCACGATATCCACAGTACCGTTAGCACGACTGCAGTTGGTTCTGTTTAAAGGCAGCATGGGCGTAACTGCCATAATTGTATTAATAGAAGATCAGGCCCAACCAAATCTGATAAACGCAGCAAAGAAAGTTGGAATATAATTTGCCTGTCCTGACGGGATGTTACTAAGCATGGTTCAGAGCTCTGACAGATAAGCTGTGTCTGATTTAGCTTTTGTAGTTGGAAAGGTTATCTCCTCCACCAGCTGTCTTGCTTCTTTGCCACAAGTTACCTCCCTGGTATTAGGGGCTGCAGCAGATCCTGGTCAGCTGCTACCATTTAATACATAATTTTTCTTGGTTAATATCCATTGGAGTGCTGTGTTGTGAACCAGGCCAGATGAAGAGCAGGCGTGCGCTCTCTTCTGCTTCACCTGCTGGTTGGTAACGACCAGCTGATGGCTGGAGGAGTCATCTGGGGGGCAGCGGTCCCTATAAATTAATGAAGAGCAGCTGTCAGAGCCCTGATCAGTACGTGAAAGTATTTGTGTCCTGAAAGGAGCTCACTTTGAATTCAGGTCCCAGCCTTGAAGGAGGGTGTGATCTCAATCGTTGTGGATTGACGAAGCAAAGGCTGAGCTGCTCCTCGTTAACTTGTTTCCATACAACGTTTTGCAGGCTGACTCGCTTCTGGCACCCCGCGCCCTCTTGGTTGCAGGAGGTTGGCTCCACATCCCGGTGACTGTTCAACACAGAGAGTTTGGGTAACATCTCTAAGGTAACTTTTTTGTTTTGCCCTGAACACAAATGCAGCCGCATTAAATATCATGCAAAGAAAAATCAGTTGCTTGCTTTTATACTTCTCGTGTTGTCATTGTATCCTTATAGTATGTGTAGATATTGTTTCTGGGAAGGATGCTCTTATTTTCAGAGGAAACTACAGGAATCCCCATAAAAGCACTAACTGGGAATGAAAGGCTCACTATTTATTAACTTGTAATCAATTAAATGACACAATTCTTTATGATAAGAACTAAGCTGCCAGGTTTTGGAAGCTGAATCTGTGATGCATTAGCAACTCTGGCCGTTTTGGTGGCTGAATGCAGCTGTGTTACCTTAATACTGATTTCAGGATTTGATTATTGTCTTTTTTGTTGTTTTTTTTTTCCTACTCTCTCCTTCCTGTTTTGAGTTTGGTGGAGTACAATAGCTTGGTGTGTTGGTCTTCCATGCTGCGAGGCTACTTTGTGCTCTTCTGAATTCAGAAGAGGCTCTGGCATACCTGCTGTCTTCCCCCAGTTCTTTATTAACGAAGATACGACTCAGTAGCACTACCTGTGTTATAAGTATCTGTTCACCACCAGGCTTGACTGACCTCAGGAGGCCCCGTTTTTAGGTAGTGGTTGTGTTGCACAGATCTCTTCTTTGGTGAGGAGGTCTCAGGGCTGTGCAACTTGTGGTGTTTGATGCTTTGAAGTGCAACCAAGGATGCCAAACTCCACAACTGCCTTCTTGGGAGAGGGAGAGGAGTGTTATGGTGGCTCTGCTGGAGATGCTCCTGTGTCTGTCACTGCTGACTTGCAGCAGATTTGGTGCTTATTTAAAGACTAGCAGTTGTGTAGCTCTTACGTTCTGCTGTGACGTTGCTCTTTTTCCCCCTTGTATTGTATAGTGAGTTGTATTTCCCCCTTCCTAAAGCTGTCCACTTAAAAAACAGCACATCAACTTGAATTCAGATTACCTGTTGGTATCAAAGTGTTTTCAAGCATTTCACAAAGTGAATTTAGCAATACTGGAAGGGCACTAAGACAGGGTAAGGGCTGCTTGTTCTGCATCCTTTGACTGAACTGCCCAAGCTGCTTGAGCATGTGTGGGGAGACGGCTGTGATCTCATTACAGCTAACGACAGGGATAAGCAGCTTGGAGCACCAGAATCAGCACAGCAGTGTCTGCAGATGTCAGTGAGTTATTTAAAGCAGGAAGGATTTGGGAGCGAGGCCTGGGGGATTGCATGGTCCTGTGTGGAGAAACAACCAAAGAACAGCTAGGATGAAGACACTGAAGGTATTGCAGAGTGTGAAGTGTAACTGCTCCCTTGTGTTGTAGCACTGTGGGTTGTAGCAAAACTAGCAAAGGCCTGGAGCTTTGGAAGGCCCTCCCAGTGCTCCTTTCTTAACAGAAGGAATACTTCACTTTTCCAGACTGTGATTTGTGTGTAAACTCCACACCAGGCTAATCACAAACATGCAGGTTTTGCCGAGATGAAATGTGACTGTCTTCAAGTATTCTTACTTTTGGGGACGTTGGGATGTTTTGCTTTGTTTCCTGTTTGGGCTGAGTCTGATGCTTTTTCTCAAGCTGTAAAAGTGACATTTTCTTTGGGCATAAAACTGCTTTGTGTAATTCAAGTCTAATTTCTTTTTTTGCAGTTCTTACCATGAACACTGACCCAAACACGCTTACTAAAATTCGTAGCTAAACCTGAATCAATAAGCATTATCAGGCACATTTCAAACATCCTGTATAGAACTGAGAAAACCACTAACTGCTTTAGTCTGTCTGATAAATAGCAGTGTTTTGTACCCTGCAAAATTGGAACAGCTTTTACTCTTTATTCTCCAGGCACTGTGTAAAGTGATGTTTCCTGTACTGCTGTTTTTCCTGCAAAAAACTAATCTGTTAATTATTCTTCTAGTTAAGTTAGACTGTATTCATGTTACTGTGCTGTTAATCACAGCTGTCACAGAATTACAGGGGCTGGAAGGGAGCTCTAGAGATCATCCTCCCTCCCCCCCAAAGCCAAGCAGGTTCCATACGTAATCTTTTCTTCTGTTGTAGTTCCTGTGGAAATAAATAGGAGATGCTGCTTTTGGGGTGACCTACGTGTATGTGTACAGGTATTTTGCTTTAATAGATGCTGTCTGACAGGAGCTCAGCTGTAACAAACGAATTCTCTTTTGGCTTCAGAACTCTGTTACTTAGATGGTGGCCTCAGTTCTAACTGGTATTCTGCAAAGCCTGCTGGAAAGAGCTTTGAGCTCTGCTGAGCAGCTTAACATCTAGATAAGGTACTGGAAATGTGTGACCTGGGGGGTGTCTGTAAGAACTTGTTTCCAGCTGCTGCAGTGAACGGGAGGTTAAATGTAGGCTTTGTTTACCTGAGTCTTTACTTATTCTGAAAAGAAAGGATTTTGTGTTCCAGGCCTTCAGAATTGAGCAGGCTGCTGTGCTGGGGTATTCTGACACACCTGCTGTCCAGTCTCAGCATATGGTGTAAGGAGAGAAGTAACAAAGATCTGAAGCATTACAGGGCTCTTCTATTTAGGAAGAGCTTAAAAATACAGACGAAGGAATTGTGTTCAGTGATTGTTGTTCTGGCATCCAAGAGCACCTTTATACCCTTGGCTATTTTTCTTTCTGCACCACCCTTGTTTCTCTGGATCACTGGGAAGAGAGCACCAAAGGATGACACTGCTATGGTATTGCAGATGTTTCACATGCCAAGTTTTGGTTTTTGCCCTTCAGAATGCATAGCATCTCGCCAAGCTTGGAGCTGTGACTAGCTGTGCAACTTGTGTATCCTCTGAGAAAGCGCCCTCGGATTCAGATTGCCTTTTGTTGTCACACAGGTGGCTGGGGCTGTCTGCTCATTCATTGCCCTTCACTTTCCAAAGCATGCTGCAGACCACAGAGCAGCTCTGGAGGTACTCTGACAGCTGCCAGGTTTTCAATCTGAGCATCTTGCAGATGACAGCAGAAGGCTCCTATCGAAACCCCTTCCCTGAGGATCTTCTGTATGCTTTGCCACACTGGATTTTTAGAATCATCGCTAGGAAAGTGAGAGTATCCTTGTATGAAGTTCTCTTTAGCCTTGTAGGCAGTGTCAGATTAAATCTGCTGCCTTAGCTTTAGGTGCCCTCAGATCTTATATATACTTTACTGACATTAAGCACTAGCTGTAATGCGTGACTTCTGTCTAAAACATTTGCTGTGACAGGATTTTTGCCTTATTTTTATGCCCTGACTTGAAAAGTGAAATATTGCACTTTAATCCCCGTGTTTCCTGGCACTGTTTCCTTGCATGCAGTAAGGACAAGAAGAATTCAGTAAGAATACAACCAGATCTTTTTTTCCCTAGTGTTGAGCTGGATCTAACAAGAAAGTTGCTCAGACTTTTCTTTCCTTCTGCTTTTTGTAGGTGGCTTCACCACACAAGATAACGTGCAGGCTTTTAGTGCTTCTACCTGGAAGACGTTAGAATGAACAGATCTCACGTTCAGAAGCAGTAGCTCGACTTTTCTTGTGACCCTTAAGGGTCATCTGCTTAGGAAAATTAAATGATAACGAGTAAGGGGCGTGGATTTGCAATGTGATTATGTGGCTTTAAATCCCTGTGGACGTGCCTATAAGGTCATTTCTACTACAGACTGGGACAGCTGCATTCATCAGCAGGTTCACCCTTGTCTGGTGCGGTTCTGCTGCTGGGATCCCTTAATGTAGATACAGTTGCAATGAAGAGCCAGGCTTTTGAAGTAAAGCTTGTTTTGCTTTGGGTGCTGAGAGGGGAAGCAGTGGTGTGAGGGCTTTTTTCACTGCTGAGAGCAGCACGTGGGCTGAAGGAAATAAGTATTAGAAAAACAGAGCCCCAATATTCACCTTATCCAGTTTAATCCATTTTTTCATCAGCAATTTAAAAAAAGGGAGAGGAATGGGGCACAGCGGCAGTCATCTCTCAGTTGGTCTCATAAAAAGCTTTTACCTCTCCCCACAGACCTCGTATTTATTTCACAACTGTCCACTCAGCACAGTAGAGCATCCTGCAGTTCCCTTTTCTCAGGTGATAAGTGAAGCCACATCCTGGGCACTGGTTGGTGTTGGGCTGTGGAGCACAGCGCGTTTGGCTGCGTTGCATTTCTCTGCCTCTGCTGCTTAACAGACCCCTGGGTTTGGTTTCATGTTAGTGCCTTGTAGCTACGTTAGCAGGAGGAACTGCTACATAACAGCTGCTCCTTTTCTTTTGGCACAGGACTGTGTAGCAGAACAAAGTGAATTTGTTTGGTTAGTATTGCTTTTGTGCTCGTAAATCTTCCCGTGGAGCTGACGTGCTTCTAGATGGTCCTCTTCTGTTTCTGCCATTTTGAGCAGAAAAGTAGCTAAAGCATTTGATTCTTTGGCCAAACGCAGCACTGCTCTCTGTGAAAGCATGAAACGCAGCACTGCTTTCATGTGCAAGCACTGCCCTAATTTTAGTTGGTATTAGCAATCTCTGTTCAGTAGTTCATGGATTGGGGCAAAACATTCCAGCAATCATGAAAAGTTAACTATCAAGTAAGACTCAGTTGAACTGGAACGCAAAGGACTGCTAGAAGTAAAAGGATCTCCAAACTGCAGTCTTTTCAGCAGTTTATCACAGAATTGTAGGGGTTGGAAGGGACCTTCAGAGTTCATCGAGTTTACTTGACTGCTCTGCTGTTCCTTCTTGACATGCAGCTGGCTGAAGTGTGCCAGTGCTGAGTGGCTTGGCTGAGGGTGCTGAAGCCTTCAGTGAAGCACCAACACCAATAACCTCTCCCTGCTTTTCTTTTGTAGCATCTTGCTTCATCCAGGTGACAGCTGGGCACTCGTGACCTGTTAACTACAGTGGGAAGGTGTAAGGCTTTCTGTATTTCTCTTTGCTTTCCCAGTGATCAGACAGCAGCTGGGCTGTGTGTTAAGACCCGGTGATGCAGTCAAGGGCCTGCCAAATAAAATGCTGTCTTTTTCTAGCCAGGGGAGCTT